TGGATGTGGGGCTGCTTTTTCTTCCTAACTGACTCAGTGGAGATCTGTCTGCCTGCACCTGAACACTTTTATCATCAGGTGTGTCGGACCTCTCCCTCTCTACCTTTTTTTTTTTTTTTTAACATAATCGGCGATGTATCGGTGTGTCACTGGAACACAGTATCAGTGAAACTGACTGTTTTACCGTCAGGCAGACAGAGACTGAGTCAATGTAGAAGAAATATTCTATTTCCAACCACAGTACCTGGAGCAGCAGCGACCTGAGCCGACTGAAGGAACCAGATCAGCCTGAAGCACGTCAACTCGCACGCGCTCATAAATGGTCACATATGAGAACATTTTGGTTTCAGTCTGCGGCCCTGTGTAGGAACACTGCTGTGTTATTAGAGCATAAATTATAACATTATGTTACGTTATATTATATCAGGTAAATCCCATTCATTTATCAGATTAGGAAACACACATCTGTCGCGGGCCACATAAAATGACGTGACGGGCCGGATTTGGCCCGCGGGCCCTGAGTTTCACATATGTGTCTTATAACGTTTCTTTTTCTTTTCTTTTTCTTCTTTTTTTTAAATAGAATAAACGTACAGAAAAACAGGAAATGACATGGCGAAATCCATTGAATGAGGAAATCCCGGTACTGTACCTGGAGCCGTGATCCGGAGACAGACGGACAGAAACCACAGAAGAAGCAGAAACTTCATGATTATCACCGAATATCCAACAGATCTGATCGATTATCAGAAAACAATCCGGTAAGAGCAGATCAGCTGCCGACACTCACTGAGACACACCGACTGAGACGGAACACTTTCACTTTCACTGCAGTTAAAACAAACAAAGAGGCGGCGTTTAAGACCAAAAGCGTTCTGAGTCATAAACCAGAACTTCTGCTTCTTCTCTCGTTTGATGAGACGTTTACACACAGTTCCTGAAAGCATGCCTCACACTGTCAGAACTCTGCACACAAAACACACACACACACACACACACACACACACACACACACACACACACACACACACACACACACACACACAACGGGCAAACCCCTCAATTCTCCTGCAAACTTAAACTTTATATTCAAAACAATGTTATTTCTTCTCAAAATGGTTTGTTTTCAAATGACGCACACAAACCACCACATGAACAGACGTTTATAAGAACCAGTTGAACACTGATGTGCTCAATAGAAAACACTTCTTCTCCATTCATCAGTGACTCAGGCCGTTATGTTGTTCAGTGTTACACTTACTACAGTGGTCTACATGCAAAACAACAGAAGAAATTACTGTATACAGTTACAGTAAAAAAAAACAAATCATTGTGATTACAACACTGAGACATGTCTAATTTATACAGTGTTGAGACGAAGCATCCATTGTGGGATTGTATAGGACGTACTTGCACATAGTTGTGTCGCAATTCTTCGACTCTTTCTGAATTGTGTTCAAATGCACCCCACAGACCTGCTTCATCCTCACATTATTTCTGCGTAAGACACGGTCCAGTGTGGATAAGCTTACCCTGTCAATATATTGAAGTATCTCATTGTTTTCTTTTTTTTTTCTTTGTATTTGCTTCAACGTCATGGCATTATTTTCTACGACCATGTTCATGATTTCAGTTTGCTGTTCAGGAGACAGAAGACGTTCCACCTTGTGGCGGTAATCTTTCAGTTCTGCAATACAAATAGTAAAATACTGTAAATACTGTGTAGGAATACATTTCCTACATACTTTATTTTTACATTCCTACAGAAGAGGCACTACTGTACTCACTGAGTCCTGTATTGATTTGCAGGACCGCAGTTGTCTAGTGAGAGGAGATTACTCACCTATTCTCATTACGGAAAGTCTGGATGATGGATGCTACAGTGGACCTGCTTGCCCAGCCTCCCTCATTGTTAGACCATGGTCCACCACATGGTCAACCAAAGTGGCTCAGGTCTCATCAGAGAATACAGTCCTCATCCTCATCCTCATCCTCATACTCTTACTCCTCTGGCTCGGCCTCTGTTTCCGATGTTGGCATCCATTGCTCCAGAACAGAGGAGCTTGTTGCCCTTTGATGCTAAAGCTCTGATTGCTGATTGTAAAACAGTGTGGCAGGTGTTTCCCCATGTGACGAGTCAGTGTGCATAGTAGGGCAATTAACTGTAGAGTGTTGAATGACAGTGTGTTCCTTCATGAAAAATGTGCCAAATGCAGACAACTGTGGGAAATGAAAGGAACTGTGCTTGTAGTTCAGCAGAACTGGTTCAGGCGGTTGGTGCATGAGTTCCATGTTGTGGTCATTGTGTCACAAGTACCAGGGTTTGTGTGTGAACGATGGAGAAAAACTGAAATTTCTGTTCAGGTTACGTCCAGCAGCTCTTCTGTTTGTCGCTTCATGTGGTTTCAAGTCCTAAAAGCATGAATGAGTTTCGCTGTCGTTGCCTTTTAAACTGTTTTATTGGTTTCTTCTTCGTCTTCTGTTGCGTCACTCGGCTGCGTCCTAAATGAAGCCGTCGTGCCTTCATGTGTTTAAATAAAGTTCAGTGAAAATGAAGAAGCAGGTCAAAGAGGAAACAAAAGAAGCTTTAATGAAACGTGTTTTTACTAAATCACTGATTAAAAAAAAAAAAAAAAAAAAAAAAACTGTCACATTCAGCAGATTGATCCATTTCTACACAGCAGTGGTCTAAAGTTTTATACTGATTATGATCATCAGTGAGTCTGTTGTGTGTCAGTGGCTGTGCGTGTTGTGTGTCAGTGGCTGTGCGTGTCAGTGGCTGTGCGTGTTGTGTGTCAGTGGCTGTGCGTGTTCGTGTCAGTGGCTGTGCGTGTTGCGTGTCAGTGGCTGTGCGTGTTGCG